AAAAAAAAAAAAAAAGAGGCATAAGAATCTCCAGAAAGGTAAGAAAACCAGGGCTCTTTGTTAAGTAGTAAGCCAATGGAGGAGTATTTTGAGGAATTAGAAGCATAGCTAAACACTATTGAGAGATGAAGAAAAATGAGGAATTTGATGATAGAGATCATCCAAGGAGCATTTTATGTATTCTGCTGAAAACAAGGTCAGATGCAAATGTCTGTGGAGGGAAAAAAAAAAAAGTAAGAGCAGCAACTAAAAGAAAGGCAGGCAGAGGTGAAAGTGGCAAGGATTTTTCTCACTCTCATTTAAGGTAACACTCTTCCTCCAAATTTCTGAATTGCTGTTTTTCTTCATTGCACTTACCAACATCTTTAGTTAGTCTGTAACAAATAAGCACATATTTGATGTGCTTATCATTTTATTTACCTTTCCTACTGGAAGAAAAATTTTTTAAATGAATTAATGAATAAGGGAGATGTGTATGCATGAGTGTATATGCAAATATGGTTATGATAACAGTGACCTGAGCCCATTTAAATGATGAGGAAAGGGACCCAGAGATACACAATGGTTAGATACCAAAATGGGAAGAGATAATGATACAGTTTAAAGTTTCTGAGAATACGGGTAGAGAACCTAGGTGGAGTGATACACAACAATCCTTTCTGTCTAATAATATGGTAACAAGAGAGAAGCAGAAGAGAACAACAGCAGACACAATTTGGTGTAGCCGATTAAAACACAGGCAAGTCAAGTGAAGTCATTATTGTCTGATGAATTCTAGTTACTCTGTAAGACTAGATGCTTAAGGTTATGTAAAATTGGATGCATGAAAGAGTAAGGAAGGGTAGGTTTTGTATGACGCAAAGAGAGGAGAGGGAGAGCGGTAATCAGATATTTAAGTGGAATAAGGAAAATCTGAGTACCTGTCAGATGTCATATATTCAAATAGGAATGTCCGTCATGGTCAATCTTCTAGAGCTTTCAATGATAAGCCTGCTGCAACACATGTGCCATAGGTTTGCCACTGCTGACACAGACTAACGAATGGATTGATCAACAGATGTGTGTGCATAAATTTGTGCATATATTTAAATACACACATTGCATTACTTCACCCTCAGTAACACTATAAGTCAGGTACTACTGACCAATTTCATGGATGCGGGAACTGTTGCTCATTTAAAATTAACTAAACCCAGGTCATATAGCATCACTGCTTAGAATCTTTTCATTGCTATCAGAGGTTCCCAGGATAGTATCAGTTGTCCTGTTATAAGCACCCATTATAACCTACACTTCTCACTTAATTTATTATAATAAAAGATATATATTTTTCTGAGTATTGGTTAAATAACTTAATTACCATTACTTACATGTATCCTGCTTGACACTGATTTCCAAGAAAGCATAAATCATGTACATAGAAAATGTGGAATAAATTAGAGCTATTTTTAAAGCTTCAAATTGGTAGAACTATTTGTGAATAATCTGACAGTATCTAGTATATTTAAAATGTGAATACCCTTATTACTCAGCAACATTACATGCATCTATATAGTTAAAATAGGTAACACAGTATGCATTAACGTAACTGTATACAAAGCTTTGTACTTGAGCTTTCTCTGTAAGACAAAAATAAAAATACCTAATTACTAATAAAACAAACCATGATGTGTCTGAGAAAGAATGCATATACTAGTATGTGTGTGTTTGAGAGTGTGTGTGTGTGTGTGTGTGTGTGCACGTGTGTATAAAGACAGAAAATAAAGTTGGACCAAAATGTCCAAGTAGTATCCAATACCTGACAACTATAAATTTTGTCCTTGCTTCTATGAGGACCAACTAGAAGAAGCCAAATGTGTATTCCTAACCTATCACCAGAACACCTTGCTTCCAGTAAATCCACCTATGCTTTCCTAGGCCAATAGCCTCCAACCAAGGCATACCTAAAGTCTCCTCTTTTTAAGTCTCTATCAAAATTAAGTAACAGTGGCTGACTCTCTTGCTATGGCAAACTCTGAAGAAATGGCTTTTGCTTTGCTCACTGGTCTTCCTTGTTTTCACTGTTCAGCTCCTCTTTCAATGTAACAGAAGTTTACTTGGACACATGGCCACTGGAACAAAGATTATATATATAAGCCTTTCTTGCAACTAAATAAATTCATGAGACTATATTCTGGCCAAGTGAATGAGGTTGAAAATATATTATAGGAGCATACAGGGGTAGCTTCAAGATACATCCACCAGCAAAAACCGGTTTTTTGTCTCTCAGCCTAGGGTGACTTGAGCTGGAAATGGGTGCTTGAGATCTGACAGGTGTGCATCTCCTTATTGGCCTCAGGCATTTATGTGACAGAGAAGTAATAACAGCAATTGTAGCAGTTACCATTTACACAGTTTTATAATGTGTAGCCTTATTTTAAGTTTGTAATAAGTATTAATTTAATCATTACAACTCTATGAAATAGGTTCTATTATTATTACATTAAGAAAATGTGGCACATAGAAGTAATCTGCCTATGGACACACAATTTTTAAGCTACCATTTTTTGGGGCGTTTCTATTACTTGCAGCTGAATATAAACCCAATTAATATGCTCTTAGAAAAGAAAGCTTGAAACAGTCAAGTCAGGGTTTGATATTCAAGTTCTCTTGAGTGTTCGGATAATTCCAGGGACCAGTATGAAATTTACTAGGTAATCACTATCACTATCACCTATCATTTATTTTGCATCTACGATATGCTACTCATGGCACTGGAGTTTTTAATATTCCTATGTTTAGCAGACAATTCTACAACAAAAAAGGTAAAAGTAGGACGAATTTTTAAGAAAAACTAAAAACCTTACCTTTATCATTCTGGATAGATCACCAGCATCTGCTAATTCCAAAACTATGTTTAGTTCGTTATCTTCAATGAATGATGCATAATATTTAATTACATTTGGATGGTTGAGTTGCTGAGAAAAAAAAAAGCATAGAAGTTTTTACATTCCAAAGAATCACTTAGTTTTGCAATTTAAGAATAACTTAGCCACTACATTTCATTTGTACATCTCATAAATGTTAACATGACAGAATATATTCCTTTAATTCAGTAAATTTTAAAACATAATTGTAAGTAAAACTAGGTATGAGTGAATTTTATTGTAATATTCTTTATTAAAGATAATGAATGCAATACCTAAAGTACTCCTGTTTCTAATAGATATTTTATAGATGCAATAAGTACACTGCAGAATTAAATCACCAATTGCTAAAAATTACATCCTTCAAAATAACTACCATTTAAAGCATTTGGTAGTAAATACCACATCTCTACCTATGCTTATATTGAAGTTAAGGTGATTTCTAGTACAATTTTAGCCAGCACATACATAAATACTAGTGGGTACTACATCTAAATACTGTTTTATATAAAATAATATAAATATATAGAACTACTCATGTGTACTGATTCATAAAATCACCTCTTGGAAAAATTTCACCTTATGGAAATATATGCATCAGTCTTTATATTTAGAAACCTTTTGTTGATAATTATTAAACAAATAATTATTAAACAAAATAATTCAAAACTGATGGGTGATTTTCTTTTCTTCTTTCTACGTAAAGTTTTTCCTTTGTTTTTCTATAAGACTATTACATCCATAATAAAGTTTATACTTATTCAAACCAGTAACTTCATGTGCCAGAGTAACTACAATGCATCAGAGTTGCAAAGTATAATGTTAACTTTAATCTTTTTGGATAAAGCTAATTTGTTTTAGAGGTTAGCAAATGTATGGCATAAAAAACACACAACTTACCTGAAAATTTAAAATATAACATAAGCCATACTATTTCTTAAAAGAAATCTCACTAGAAAAGAAAGAGATAGTGCTTAGATAACTGGAATCTTAGTCATATTATTAAATGGATGAAAAACTACAAAGAAATATGCTTTATAAATTCACCCATTCTAAGTCTGGAATAATTAAGAAACATTACTTTAAAACATATGAGTGAACTGGATTCATCTACATTCTCAATATAACAACTTTGTAGGTAAAATGAATTAATACATACTATGTCACTTAACCTTTTGAATATACCTAGTTGGGAGGGTCTAGAAAAAATTTCTTGACATATTCCCATTTATCTATTTCCTACTTTGAATAAAGCGAATTCTATCAAATGTTTTGATTCAATTATTTTCCAATAAATTCAAAAGGTCACCACATTTTTCGATATACTGGCACTCGAACTTATAGAATGTTACTTTATATCAGGTTGATGTAAACTAAGCCTTAAAAATCTTTTTAACTGAATATGTTGATAAAAGCCCATAGTTCAACATTTACCTTGAGGAGATCTATTTCTTTAATGCAATCAGCACGTGCTTTGGCATCCATTAAATCAAATATCTAAAGATAGAATCCAGAATTAGCAAAATAATAATGCAAAGACATACACATACATACAAACATATATAAACACTGAAACTCATAAATATGTAAAATTATGTATCAACTATAAAACAGCTTAACATGGTGATGTATGCCTGTTATCCCAGCACTCAGGAGGCTGAGGCAGGAAGATTGCTGCAAGTTTAAGGCCTGCCAAAACTACGTAGCAAGATCTGGTCTCAACAAACCAAACAAGTAAATAAGCAATAACTTTTTTAAAATGAGTATGGAGGTATTAAATAAAATTTCAAAACAAAAGTAAAACCTATAAACTCACTACATTAAGACTTTTAGCATTTAGTCAGCTGCTTCCACTTAATGTATAAATGCATGAGGTTTTTACATAATAAAAACAGTAGCAGAGGGGCTGGGAATTTAGCTCAGTGGCACAGTGCCTGCCTGGCAAGCGCAAAGTCATAAGTTCAATTCCAGGTACCAGATAAAATAAAAAGAAAACAGTAGCAGTACATAAAATGGTTTTTCTCTTAACATTATAGCAAAACTAGTTTTCTTATTTCTATATCATCTTCACCTACTTTGGTTTTGTTATTTCTAGTTAAGACTTCAAGGCTCAATTTTATACTTTACCAGTTTTAATGTGAAACAGTTGAGTACTGCATATTGCTGTTTGAAAAAAATTAGATGACATCAAAATTTCTCCCATTTAATCAAATGAAAGGAAGAGAAAAATATATGTGTCAGTACATGTACTAAAAATAGTAACGTTTCTCCACTGGTAATAACTCTCAACCTCTTAGACACTGAACTTGTGCTAACTACTATGATTTTAGAATGTAACACAGTGGAACAGAGTAAAACAGAACAGAAAGGAAAGAAAGAGAAAAAAAGACTATGCAAGCATCCCACATAAATATCTAGTAATACAGTATTTTTTGGCAACCATCAAGTCCCTATATTAGCAAACTTTGGTAAAATGAGGTAACAGGTTACATATAAATAGACACTAACAGCAGGGACAAAGAAAACAATGGCATAAAGTTCACTAGCAATAATAAACCATATGGAGTGTGATAGTACTTAATGAAAGAAGAAAAAAACGTCATATACTATAATTCTCTCCAAAAGCATCAGGCTTTTATTCTACACCTGATGATTACAGATCATCATGATTACAGATGATCACAGGTTATTCTACAGACGATTGATTACAAAACCTCATCTTGGATACATACAAACTTAAATTATTCATGGCCATATTTTCTTATAAAACCACACTAAATACCATCTTATTAACAGATTTTATTACAGAAAGCAATTTGCAGTCCTTAAAGATATAATGTCAGGTGCAGAATGCAGACTAGAACATAGATAGTTAAAATGCAAAGTATTAAGTGCTACCTGGTCCAAAGTCATGCCAGACCCTCAATAGGAGTACACTAGCCCAGTATGGCCTGTAAGACCCTCAACATTTAATTTATTCAAGCAGAAAAGTATAACGCCCTTCAGATTTTTATTTTCAAAAATGTAAAATCAAAAACTCTTCTCTTACAGGAATAAGCTTTACATTCAGTAGCTTCAAAAAGAAAAGCTATTTATTCCCCCAAATTGTCAAAACGATGGATGCCAGAGAAATGATGCTGTTACTATGTAACAATGATAACAACTACAAATATACAGAAAAAATTTAAACTTGATGCTAGTGAGAGGTACCAAATACACACAGACCACTGGTACTTCAAAACCCAAATGTCAGAAGAAATGGCCAATTCTTGCCAAATCATGAATGCTGATGCCATTCTCAGAAACTGCTATTTACCAGGGACCATGTACTTAGCAGAAAAAATTTTTAAGAGTTTTGGATCCAAAAGAATTAATGGGAAAAAAAATTTTTAAGGAAAGATAACACTGGCATCAAATAAAGAAAAATCAGAAACTTGACACATACAAATCTAATTTCCAATAATTATGTCATTATGATGAGAGAAACTACTTTTGAAGAATAAGCGAGTAAGAATATATACTATGTAAATCACAAATCTTCAAGTCAACTTATAATTAAATTAGAATCACAAATTTATTTTTATTTCTTTTCAGATTTTTGTTTTAAAAAATATTTTTAAATAGTACATGCCTGCAGTATATATTGATTATATTCCTCCTGGCAATTTGGTACATGTATATAACACACCTTAATTCTTTGACTTCGCCTTTTCCCCGCTTCTTTCCCTTGCCCCGTATCTCTGCTCCTTTGCCATGTACAAGAGATCTACCTCCATATTTCCTATTATCTATCCTTTATTTTCTTCTTTAAATTATTTATACTTTGGCTTTCTCACATAAGAGGACCCATGTGATATTTAAACTTCTCTTTACTTTTAACGAAATTTTGAATAATATCAAAAGCCAGGCCTCAAACACTGGAAATATGGATTACTGTCACATTAAATGCAAAACTAAATTTAAAAACACATTTACAAATACATTTAACTAGAAATTCAGAAGTATTGTATCTTCCTTGTTCTCTTAGCCAGCAACTCAAGACAAAAATACTAAATTTTTAGATTAAACTATTCCCAGACATAAATTCAAAGCAGTCTGATGATTTCATGTGCAACAACAGATAATATATGGAGAAAAAAATCTAGACTATGTAAAAATATAATAGATATGAATAAGCAAATCTTCAGAAAAAAATCTTTTCTGACTCTAAATATTTCTTTGGGTTTTAAAACTACTTTATAATTTATTAAAGCAAAGTTATTACCTGTGGTTAGGAAAGTGCTAGCTGATAAATTTTTGGTTACACTGAGAAAATCATCTTCTGACATTTTCATTCTTTGCCAAAATTACTCATAACTAGTGAAACTGAAAAGGCTAACACTAGATATTTTAAAGAGGAAAAATTTTCTTTCAAGTAACTTAGCAGCTATGTTCTTAAAAAGGCATGCAACAAACTGTCAGGAAAAGACACACAAAATGTAGCAAAAATACATTAATGTAAAAATACATTACTAGCCGGGGATATAGCTCAGCGTCATAGCACCTGCCTGGCAAGTACAAGGTCCTGAGTTCCATTCCTGGTACCAAATAAAAGTACTACTAAAAAGAGTTGGACAAACCTGGTGTACCTCATTTTAACTATACCTTATATATGGAAATCTTAACCACATATTCCCTGGGCATCCCTAGAGTCTGAATAAATGAACTGCGCAGCTTATCTCTGATTGAGTAGCCCAATCTTCTATGTGACAGCTCCTTATCCCTTTCCTTTCTGCTCTCAACCATGAATACTTGTTATTTCACTCTTCATCCCTCTCTTAACCTTAGAGATACAACACACTTCTATCCCTCTGTTCAAACTGTGCCGTCCTTGTACAGACCCCTCCTCAGCCTTTCTTAGAGAGAAGGGAGGAACACAGGAAGCCTTAGTACTTTCCCCTCCACAGAGTGGTATTTTTGCCATCACGCTGCAAATTGCTGGTTCTCTTTCTAGCTGATTGGTAAGACTTTGCTTCCAAGGACTTTCATTTATTTGAAAGGTAGGAAATGAGTAAGGGGGGGGTGGGAAATCCATGGCAGATGGGATTATAGAGTCTGCTCATTTGCATATAATTAGAAACACATTTACAAATACATTTAACTAGAAATTCAGAAGTAGCCTATCTTCCCTCTTCTCTTAGCCAGCAAGTAACACAAAACACTGATTTTTAGATTTTTAGATTACTCCATAATCTAAAATGAAAATAGTTTATGTGTACACACAATTTACAGGTAAGCTAGGAAAAAAAAAGTTTTAATGATTAACTGAGGTTTAAAATACCTTACCTTCTAGGGTTAAAATAGTAAAAATGATCAAAAAATTGAGATACAGTTAAACCCAAAATTAATTCTGTTAACATCATGCTACTGGACCAACAAAAACCAATTCCAATTATACACCTCTAATCAATGAGGTAAATATAATAAAACAGAGGTTGCAGGTACAGTAATAAGGACTTAGCAGCTAACCAAACTGATTCTTCACTTGGGCTTGCAAATATCCAATGGCAACAAAAGCAAGATAAGAACTTGGCTGTCTGTTTCCACTTCTCATCTGTCTCCACTGCTATCACCTTGGATTCCAGGAATAACACCTCAGTTCAATAAACATCTCATGATAGTCCAAGCTATCCCCCAGACAACAGCAACCTTCACTTGAATACCAACAAGACCCTGCCCGATAATCCAAAGATAATGATCAACCAGACCACAGCTGTCCTTTTGTCTATATAATCTGGGTGCTTACCTCAGTACCCCAGAGACAGTTCTGGAAATGGTTGGCCCTTTATTTTCTCAGAGTAGTAACACTGATTAAAGTCCATTTCCTGCCTTCACACACTGGTCTCTTTGACTGGCACCCCCGGGTGGGCGGCAGAAGCTAGTCTGATAGAACCCCTGGAGCTGGTGCCTTCACCCTGTATCAGTATCAGATCCAAACAATTCTTTGACAATCTTCCAACATAAAGTACTGCAGTTCTGAGATCCAGCTCATGCCCCCTGTGAAGACTCCATGAAGACTCCCCAATTTCCCCTTCACATCTCTGTTCCCCTCACGGTGCCTGACTGGTGGTTTTATCTCCCCTCTGTTGTACCACCATCTGAGTCTCATGAATCCTACACATTCACCTTAGTATTTTCAAAGCCTTACACACTGGCCAAGGAATACGAAGTGATCAATAAATATCAGTGGAGTCAACAGAGAAGTCAACAGAAGGGAAATACTAAAGGAAAAAGGGAGAGAAAGAGGGAAAAAAAGCTGGTAGTCAGAATTTCAAACTGTTACCAATCAGTTAAGATACCACTTTAACTTTTTGCAAATAAGCTATGATGGGTCATAGGTAAATTTTCAAAAAGATTGGTTAATGTTCTCATATATTAATGACTCTCAGATGTTACCACATGCTGTAGGCTATCTAATTTATGATTTCAAAGTAATGTGTGGTCAATGCACACTTCAC